AAGTAAGGATACTTTTGTAGTAATTACGCGATATTACAGTGAACTTCGTATATGGAATTCTTCCTCTTGACTTGACTTGGCAAAAAATGACTAAAGATTTGACTTGACTTGCTAAAATTTGACTTGGGTCTTGACTTGCTAATATTTGACTTGAGACTTGACTTGCTAAAATTTGACTTGAGACTTGACTTGCTAAAATTTGACTTGGGGCTTGACTTGCTAAAATTTGACTTGGGACTTGACTTGCTAAAATTTGACTTGGGACTTGACTTGCTAAAATTTGACTTGACTTGACTTGCTAAAATTTGTCTTGGAACTTGACTTGGCTTGGAAAAAAATGACTTGGTTACAACCTTGTTATGCTGTGACTTTCAACCACCTCATTGCATAATCTATTCCTTGTGCATTTGTAACGAGTGACGTTGAGTACATTGCAGCTGCGGGTTTCTTGCGCTAAAAGTGGTGATGAATACACGTCCATGTATTCCGAAGACAATTCCAACGAGCAGTCCAGGGTCCAGGAGATGAACTAAGCGATATATGAGGATACTCTTCAGCAAGTGGTTCATGTCAACTTGAACTTGACAAACAGATATTATCTTTATTGTTTTTTACCTTTGGTCCTCCTAACCCTTGATTTTTTTTTTCATTTGACTTTGAGGTTGCCACTCGCAGGACTGGGAATCGCACTTGTAATGTTTTTTATTTGTTTTTTGTTTTTGTTTTTTCATTTTACTGGGGTAGCTCCATCAATTATCAGTAAGTTGTTCTCACTGGGGCCCTGGGATTCTCGCTGGCGGCAGGCCCTGGGATTTTCGCTGGCGGCAGGCCCTGGGTAATCACCACTATAGTCTTGCTGGCGCAGCAGGTGAGAGCGTAGAGCTGTCGGAGAGTTATTGGTGTGAATTTATTCACCAGAAGAGGGTGCCGTTCAAGATGGCAGCCACCATGGCAAGTGCAACTTCATCAACTGTCTTGAAACTTTACTGCCGAATCTTACGAAAATCCAAGACATTTTCTGGATATAATTATAGGTATGACAAATCAGTTTACCGCAGACTGTACCTATAGTGAATGTTGTTCATTCAGAAGCCAGATGAGTGTGCGTGCTTGGCATGGGACCAAGTATGCAATGAAATTACATAAAGTCATTCTCGCAGTTGGCATGACGTCACTGTGAAGTTTTTAACACCCGGCAAAGGGGAAAATTTACCCTTCGTGCTATTCAATAATATAAAGAAGTTCCTGAATGTCCGACCACGTAGATTCCGCTGCCCGCATGTCCCGACACCACTCACTGCCCCCAAAAAATCGTTACTTCGCAAATTTCATAATTTGTAAGAAAAAGACACAAAATCACCAAAATCAGAGTTCCGAATCTTCCAGCAGATATCCAAAACACCATATGCATTTTATCCATACTTAGCTCAGTTTAGATGGCTTTCGTTCATGCGTGTGTCCAGGTATTATGCTCAGAGTGTTTGAGTGTAAGGATTGCCCTGAGCCATTGATTCCAAAAAGAATTCAGAGAGTTCTCTCAGATAGAGTTGGACACTGAAACTTCAGATCCCTATCTGCTCTGATCCATGAACTGATGAAGGGCCAACATGTTACTCATCCGTCAGCAAGGCTTCTGGTTGTAGTCTGGTAGAATTATACTTGAAAAGTGTCTTTACTTGGAGGTTGAAATAAAATCATGAATAATGAAAGATGAAAAAATACCCCATGTGTTTTTGAAATTGTTAGGACGCAAATCTACAAGTGCTGTTCTCTTAGCCTTTTAAAATGCCTCCAGAAATTTCATGAATTAAGAAAACTACTCTCAGTTAGGATCAACAGTTGGGTATTCTGCAGTTACTCCCAAATAGGCCTGCCAACTGTAATGTAGAGCCTGGCCATTGTGCCTTATAGCTGTGTGCGCAAGTTTGGCATGTTTTGACAATTTGGGACATTGTTACCGTGGTCATTGTTAAATTTTTTAGCAAAGTAGTCTGTCATGAACCAGTCCTTAATATTCTGCTGTATAAAGTGGACGACAAGAGTTCCATTAACAGCCACCACAAACTCTCTGCCAATCATAACAAATTCCACCTCACTTTTATTCTGATTGAAGACAAGTCTATTCGGGTTTAAAAACTGGTATTGTTCCAAACATGTCGGTGTTCATGAAGTTAAGAGCTTTGTTGGCCGGATACACACTAATACAAAACTCCTTTGAAATTCCCCTATGGTCCCAACAAGTGTTGGACTGGATGGTGTTATGGGTATGCATACTTGGCATGCATTTTCTCTTCCTGGTTCGAGACTTTGGAGGAATTTTCGAAATGAAGTCTGAAATTACACTAAGTCTAAATCCCACCTTGTGCATACAATGTTACAAGGAAATGTCAGCATGGAACCAGATGATGATTTGTAAATGCAAAAAAGTTGCAGTCCCAAATATCACTGACTGCCCATGTCTAGTTCCACTGTGGTAAAAAAAAGAATTTGAAAATATTTTTGAAAAAGTTCAGATGGTGTAATATGGCCACTGGCATTTTTTTTCCCACAGGTTCACTCAAAGCATCAACCTTGCAAGCTTATGGCGTGAGAAGATTCAACAGTGTAGTCCCCACGCCATATGCCATAGAGCTAGATTTCCAAGCTTAGACCCTACCGGAATATAGCTCGGCCTCAAGCAATTTACCTTCCCTGAGTGTTCAATGTCTACCTGTTGTACTACAGTCCACCATATGTTATCCACAGTGACATGGTCAAACACCAATTGGTGGGGTTTCTTCACTCCTTGCACCAATGGTATTTAAAGACAACTTTTTTCCCTTTCTCTCTTCACAGAGAATATGCATTGAGGAGGACTAAAGATGCCTTTCGAGAGAACAAAAGCTTGACAGATGAGGCAGGGATCAATGCTTTGATCCGAGAAGCTGAAGAGAATCTACAGATTATAAAAAGACAGGTAAGATTCATAGGACTGGACTTTAAAATAACCCCGTAAACACCCCACAACAGTTACAAGTACAAGTCACAAATTCCTACATAGGTGGGGATAGCTGTATGGAGCAAACTCCACAAAAGTATCAGCAGTTACACTATTTGAATTGAAGTCATAATATTCGGTAGGCAATCAAAAACCTAGCACTGTGCACACGAGAATTGTTTGCTCCAGAAACTGAACAACTGAGTAGAGTTGAATTATCACCCTCTTTCTCAGGTTGTTCTCAGCCAGCTTTACAAGGATCCATTACTGGTAATTGAAGAAAATAAACCGGGACAGAGGTAGCAGCTATGACGGAGGCAGAGGGTTTGAAGATGAGGCTGAGCTCTACACTTCAGAATGCAGGCGGTGTCACAAGTACAGATGCATCAAAGAACAGTGTCATTAAGAAATCTGTTTTCCTCTCTGTGTGCCCAACCATTACCCACGATGCCATGAACTGGTGAAAATGAAAACAGTTCATGGCAACATGGCAGTTGAATCATTTGCCATACAAAGCCACAGTGTTGAGCTATGAAGTGCAAGACCTTGATTTTTATTTTGAGGTAGACTAGTTTTTTTTCTTACCTTTTAAAGCGATTTCCAGTGAGGGCTTTTCTTTCAACCCCTCCACGGTAATTTCCCCCTTTTTTGTAGTCATGTAGCATTGCCACTTTGCCAGTCTGCAGTGCAGTTCAATGCAATGTACATAGTTGATTGTTGACTGAATGACGTACATGAAATAGCAATTGAGAGGAGACACAAGTGGTTGTATTTGAAAGAGCAGAGAACCCATGAAATGTTTCCAAATCATTGAAGTCCCCGAGTAGAAAAGTAGGGATAAACTTCTCAAGTCAACAGAGAGTCACCAGAACCTCAGTGTACGATGCTTGTTTTCTTTAGTCATGGCCAGTTTAGATGAAATTGGTTTTGAATTTCTTTCACATATTTGTAAAGAATGTAGATTTCCATGCCAGTTTTTCTCATTCGAAGCAAGATATGGGACGGAGAGAACCCCCCCCCCCGCCTTTGTGTTGGTCATTGNTACCCCTCCGTCCCACATCTTGCCTGGTATAGTTTTTCTCATTGCCGAAATGTAAAGGCTGGGCCCTTTGCTATGGCCATAAGTTACGTATTGAAAGATAATGTTTGGAACAGAAAATTGCTGCCCAGGAGGGAAAAGATGTCACTCAACATTTTTCACTCACAGCTAATCCATCCTTCCCCATATTCATGTGCAAAGGCTGGTTCATACTTCAGGCGAATGCAAAAGCCAAGTGATTTTGACGTCTCAAAACACCTGCACCTGATTTCATTTGAGATGAAATGTGTTCAACTCTTGCAAATTTGCAGCACGACTATTTAATCTGATTTCATAATTTCGCATTCCTGTTTGGTTTCATGCCAAGTAAGAACTAGCCTTCATGTAGGCTACACTGCATATTAAGTTTATACCCTGTATTATGGGAGCCTTTAGGTCAAAGAGAAGGGGCTTCCTATTTCTCAAGTTTTTGGTGTTGTCTGTCACTAGTTTTACAGAGATGAAAGCTCCCTCCATTGGCAAAAACCATACAAATCAAAATGATCTATTTTTCTTGTGACGTTCTCCCTTTTCCGGGACTGCCCTCCCAATACTTGAAGCTGACAGTAGGTTTGCAGTAACATTCAGTGAAAATGCACCAATACATTAGGCTGTAATTTCTACTGTCCTGTTTCTTACCATGGGTTGTTATGGGTACAGGACTGACCACAAGTAGACACCGGGCATTTCATTCACTTCATGCATCAATGGTTATAGTGTCTCGTGAGGTTGGTCAGCAGGCCATATTGGCCTCTGCACTGATGATGTCGTGCTCTGTTTACACGGCTCCATTGTGTGGAACCAGGAGGGGTAACAGATACCTTGCTCCACTGGAAAGCATATATATAAACAAAGTATGACATCATCAGTACATATATAGTATGACATCATCAGCACATATATAGTATGCCTGCTTTTGCAGTGCCAACGAGTATAACAAAGAGGAATCCAGAAAGCAGTGACGCCCTTTCACTGTCAGTACCAGTCACTGGCAGCGTAAATCATGTGGCACGGTGGTTGGTAACCTGTTTTTGCAATGCAAATGCTTTTCATGCTTGCTGAATTTCTCTGCAGATTGGTTCTAACCAGTGTTGTAGTTGAGACTTCCACGAGATCATTCACGATACCAGTCACAAGACTAGTCACAAGACCAGTCACAAGATGAGCCACAAGACCGGTCACAAGTTACAAACCAAACAGTGACAAAGGAATGCTTTTGTTACAGTTATCTGATCTGAATAGCTTGTGACTTGAATTCACACAGACTGTAGGTCTTGTGCTGTCCTTGTGATGGTCTCTTAGGGGGTTTTGTGATTTTCTTAAGAGGTCTCGATTACAACACTGGTTCCAAAGCTTCACAGTCTTTGGCTATCAATTTTTCCCCTCTTGATACTCATAAATTTATTTGAAGAGTTGTTAAATGTATTTCTCTTGATAATGTTCCTGTTTGCAATGCATATATGACGTATGGGAACTGCAATATATTGTGCTAGATTTTACAATTGGATACATGTTAACCCTAACCGCCAAGCATATTGTTTGGCTTACATTGCTCCGTACCACAAAATACTAAGTAGTAGTCTGAGCTTGAATTACTACTTCTGGCTAGGCTACTTCCATTGTTACTTGTACAGAGAGCAATAAATCCATGCATTCATAGTGCCACAGCACTGTATGATATATTGTCTTATCTAATGTATCTTATGGGTTCACAGAACAATAAAGTCATGTCCTCTAACAAGCGACGGGACTAAATACTACATTTTACCACAACTAGTAATTTGTAGTATTATGCAGGGTTAGGGTTAACAAACCCTTTTTTTGTGTATGCATTATTTCAGCTAACTTCACTTCATGAATCTCCCAGATGCTATATCCGCCTTCAGCAGAAGCACCCGCCCCCCGATCGGATGAAAAGAGCCATGTTGGTCGGGAGTGTTCATTTTGTTGGTAGCGATGTGACTGTAATGCGTGCATTTCCTAGTCATTCATAAACTAGTGAAGTTCAGACTAAAGGAGCCTCCATTTACTATTTTGCTAAGATTAATTGTGCCCTCTCTTGGTCCAGCTCAGGCTCACAACCCGAGTTTACCTTTTATAACTTGTGAAAAATCCACTTACTATACGATGCCAGCATTAATAATCAAGTGTTTGTAAAAAGAGGTTGGTCAGCTGTGTCCAAAAAGTACAGCTGTGGCTGTGGTTATAGTGGCAACCAGTTGCTAGTAGCTACAGTCACAGCCGCAGCCAGTTGATCTTTAGTCTGTCTCAGCCCCATGATGGGCTTGGCTGGTGTGTTTAAAAACTTTGATTGTCACAATCGCACAAAGTGCACACATGTAGAGTGTACATGTAAATACACATCTCTGTGAACTGTTTGACAGGTATGATTGGTGGTTTGCTGATAAACCTCAAAGTGCACAAAATTTGATTACATGGTGTCAATCCTTGTCATATTTCTTATTTTCTTTTGCAGGTAATATCACAGTGATACAATTTATGTATACGCTACCATTTGAAACGTGAAAATGGAATTCCACTTACAATTATTTCCATTTGAAACATGTGAAAATGGAATTCCGCTTACAATTATTTCCATTTGAAATGTGAAAATGGAATTCCGCTTACAATTATTTCCATTTGAAACATGCGAAAATGGAATTCCGCTTACACTTTTTTTTTCATTTGAAATGTGAAAATGGAATTCCACTTACAATTATTTCCATTTGAAACGTGTGAAAATGGAATTCCGCTTACAATTATTTCCATTTGAAACGTGTGAAAATGGAATTCCACTTACACTTCTTTCTATTTGAAACGTGAAAATGGAATTCCGCTTACAATTATTTCCATTTGAAACATGTGAAAATGGAATTCCACTTACACTTCTTTCTATTTGAAACGTGAAAATGGAATTCCGCTTACAATTATTTCCATTTGAAAGGTGAAAATGGAATTCCGCTCACACTTATTTCTATATTTCTTTGAGAATAATGCACATTTGTAGAGTGACTTGGATCACAAGAGAAGAAATACATTTCTCAAAAAAGTTAAGGGCCACGTTTTTCTTAACTTGTAATTTTTTGCAAGGAATCAATGGGGTCTCTTTCTTTTATTTTTGTTTGGCTAGATGGTGTTCTCTTTGGAATAAAATCTTTTTTGTTTCAAAACATCAACTGCACATTTTCATTTGTAAAAATACCTCATAAACCAAGTATGCACAAACAAAAAGTGGTCCTTAACTTTTATTTTGAGTAGTGTAGAATATAAGGACACGTACATGATGATGTGACTGGCCTAGAGCGTCAAGCAACTTTATGTTAGGGCGGGTATGTTTCTTTCCTCAACTTAGTTTTGGTAGTCAGGGTCATACACTGAATGCCATGCAATGAGCTTTTGTGATGGAAAGGGGACGTTTGATGGAATGATTTTGTTATTCAGTCATCGGGTATAACGGTCAGCCCGTTTTGAGCTGTGAAAATTTGATTTTCTCTTTTCCTGTAAAAAAAAGTCATGATATTCTTGCAACCGGGGTCTTTACGAGAATATTAACCCCATGAAGGTGAAGCCAGCACTGAACTAAAGGCCATCCTGATGGTCATTTGCTATAAGTCTTTTAACGCCAGATTTACGAACTTCAAAGTCTGGTTCACGCTGTGATTTTATTGTAACAATTCATTACCTAACCGAAATTCCAGTAGATATTCAAATAGTGTAGAATCCAGCACGGTCTAATTTTAATGGTGTCGATAAAAATCAGTTTATGACAAGGATCGGTACTGGTTTTCTGTTCATAAGGAACAAATGCCCATGTTGCATAAACATGACTTAGTATCACTTTTTAAAAACCTTTTGCACTGTTGCTTTATCGTGTATGTCATTTCTAACGATCCATGCAAATATAATGTGTGTGGTATATCATATCTTCAGGAAAACCCTACAAGAAATATTTTCAACGCCGTTGTTGCACTCCGTTAGCAACACGCGGTGCCGCGTTTGCATGTGAGCGTGAGACTACGGCTCTCGCGCTGCGTCTTTAGATTAAAACTCCAAGCCGTAGTCGTAGGACCAGGAGACAGGACCGGAACGTGGCTACCCTTATCATGCATACCGGCAGCGCTGGGTGATCATCACGCAACCACGTACTGATCTCTGAAGAAGCTAGTCTTGGTTTCAAGACGTTAGTGCTTGATATCGGACACCGTGCATCGTGTGCCCCCAACGACTCATACTGTGGTTGAGTTCTTGCGGTCCGTTCTTGACACGAGTTTCGTGTTCTCGCGCTCGAACGGCGGGAACACGACCGAAGAACACTGTTCTCGGAACAGGATCACACACCACCTCCTCGTCAGGATTTCACACGAACACACGGAAAAACTCGTGAGATTTTATTTTTGAACAGCCTCCAAAAGTACCGATATGGCTTTAAAAAGCTGAAGACGATGGAAAGTTTTGCAAAATTAACATTAATAATTTTCCATGACAGAAATGAATTTTTTAAATGGAAAAGAAGTAAGCCCAGTTATCCAACATTAACTCTTGAAGAATGCACAAGGACGCTGCCATATTGCATGTTGCTTGCCACAAATAACTACTAGCGCTTATAACCGGTTGTACATTCCCGGCGTTCGAGCGACCGATCCACGAACAACAAATCGAGCTGTTCGTAAACATAATTTGACAGTGCGCACTGGTTAGTGAGAGTAAGTAAAAACTAGTTGTGCGAGGGCGCTCTTCAACAGAAATAAAACAACTATCAATCACTGACGTCTTGGGCCAAGACTATGAAGAAGTTAGCAAGAAGCAACGATTCTGATCGCCCGAATGCAGGCGACTGAACTAGCGCCCTCAATAGTTGACTAGAAGAAGAACAGTGCTCATGTTCCCAGACGTTTAATTATGCTGTCCCATAATAAAAAAATAAGAGAGCCAGACGTGTTTAATATCTTCATATGCAACGGATGGTTTTTTCACAGACCTGGAGGAGGAAAACAAGGTCTAGGCCTACAGCTCAAAGAGTCGTTTCATCATTTCATATTTTTCAAGATTGTCAAGGTTTTTAATGTCGTGTCAGTAGGCTCAGGATAAAACGTATAGGCCTAGAAGGAGCTCTGGAACTCAGTGGAAACACGGCCACGGTCATGACCACGATGACGGTGAATCATCGTGACCATCGATCATCATCGCGTAGACTTTACTGTGTTCACGTTTGCGCAGCAATTGAGTGATACCAGGCAGTGGAACAGTCAGTATCAGGAAGAGACCAGAGGCAGAACATTGGCAAGATGGGGATCAATTTCCCAAGCTTTAGTCGGGTTATCAGCTTGGACACCAATGAAGAAATTAAAAGCTGGATTGGTAGGTCAGAATGCCTCATGATAATTGCAGTGGACATGCTGACAATGGTTATCAGTGGATTTGAACCTTGAGCATGCACCGGACATGTTATCATGGTTACACTAGACCTTGTTCCCTACACGGACATCGCTAATTTTTCCCTGTAGACTACAGTGGTACCGGTATATCAGCCATCAGAATGCCCTAACATATCCTAACAAGTCAAATTTAGCAGGGAAGACATAGAAGTATTAACCATGTTTACTCAGAAAACAGAACTTTTCCATGTTTTCAGACCATTCCTACATGTCTTATCATGCTTAGTTTGGTCAAAGTACCTTCTATAGGCTTTTGTTTCCATTAATTAATTTCATTCTAAATAGCTCAAACCCCGAGTCAAAATCCTCCGAATTCACCTCTTAAACTGTCCTTAAAATGCCTAATGCCCCCGTCTATGGATTCAAGTAAGAATCAAAGATTCCAATAACAATAATATGGTTGACTCACATAAGGGAGGAAAAGAGAAATTTCCCTTTCAAATCAGAAACACTTTTGTCGATGAGCTCGAAGACAACATCTTTCCTCAAATAGCCATTTGAACTAAATATTGATGTTCTTTTGATGATCACGTCATGGCGCACCGGCCTAGCGGACCATTCACAGAAAGCATGCTGTGTTGGCACGCGTGCGCTGACCACTGTTTCCTGAGCAGTGCAAAGTTTGGTGACTGTGACCATATCGAAACTTTGCACTGCTCAGGAAACAGTCGTCTGCACGCGTGAGCTAACACAGCATGCTTTCTGTGAATGGTCCCCTAGGCCGGGGTGCCATGATGTTGTCAACAGGACATCAACATATATTTAAAGTGACTATTCGAGGAAAGATGGCATCTTTTAAGCTCGTCGACAAGAGTGCTTCCAATTTGAAGGGGAAATTCCTCTTCTTTCCAGATGTGAGTAAACCTTACCATCATTATTGGAATCTCTGATTCTCACTTTCCTGAACCGGGCACCTTAGACAGTTGAAGGATCATTTTGGAGGTGAATTCCAAGGATTTTGATTCGGGGTGCGAGCTATTTTGAGTGAAATGAATTAAAAAGGGAAGCAAAAGCCTATAGAAGGTACATGTACTTGCACCCTACTATCGCCCTACCATGTCCACATGTTTAAAAAGGCGATTTGTACAGGGCCAAGTGTACTCGGACTAGCTTATTATAGGGTTTATGCACAGGGTGTCAAAGTGATGTCTGTATGGAACTGTTTCTGTCATGCAGTGCCATGCTGAATGTTACTATGCCATAGTCTGATTTTTTAAAAAATTGTAAGCCCCCAAACAAAGGGTGCTTTTGAGGACTTCCACATTTTGGGGATTTAGTGCAAATCTTTACAATGACCTATCTTCTGGTTCCATGCTTAGAGGACATTGTCATTGTGACCTACAATGTACATCATTCTAAACTGAGCCCACGGCTAATGCGGCGTTTTACTTCTTTTTTCCCTTGAAACTAATCGAGAATCCCAAATCATAGAAGAAAGTGAAATACTTCATAACTTCATCTCAAAATAAGTATAACCTCGTCTAAGATAAGATACATCTGTTCAGGGCAATCTTGGAATTTGTGCAAATTTATTGTACTCCATCCCGAGCGGTTTTGTCTTTGAATAAAATCTGTTCACAGGATAATCAACTCAGAAGGGAGAACAGTAAATTTGCACTAGAGTCAAGATTGCTCTGAATACAGAGTGACTGGCTCATCCTGTCATTTTCATGTCCCCAGAGATGTGGTACCAGATCTTCCTCTGGTATCTCTTCTCATCCTTCTTGATTCACTCTGGTGCGGCTATCATCGCCTTCTGGGCCCTTCGCAAGCACAAGATGGGACGGCTATACTCTCTCGTCATCCTTGTGATGGGCTTTGTAGGGCCCATAACTGGAGGCATTGTGACAAGTAAGGAATCGTTTAGCTGTGGACTAGGTGCTCCATATTGTACATTTCTTTATAGCTCTGGCCACGGTACTTGTTTTTTTGGTACTTTTGATTTCACTGAAGTCTTAAATGAAGAGAAATTCTTCTTTAAAGCACTGTGAATGTTTTTAAGTTTATTGTTTTCAAAAGATACATGAACATGCAAACACTTTTAAAACCTATTTCTATGACAAAACTCTGCATCTGACCATCACAAATTTCAAGGTCAAATTTACCCTACTTCTTCAGCTTTTTGCCCTTGGTACTGAGCCTCCTTTTCTTCCCCAAATCTCCCCAAGTTATTAGATGCCTGTTGTTAAACTTGACGTTTATGACATTCCAAAGTTGTGATGGTCTGCTTTGGAATCTTTGCCAGATTTGTTCTGTTTAAATTGAATTTGGGCTGATGCATTTGTCAAGTCTCTGAATCAAGCTTTTTTCCAAACTTGAACGCTTTCCTGGATATCTACGAAAAATTGACAAAGATGTCACTTTATAAACAAGCATGAAGCAAGTCCATGAGCAAAGTCGGGATACATCTGGAATATTCTCATCTCTGTCCGTAGGTGCAATCATTGCTGGCCTGTTTATCACGTCTGAGTTCTCCATGTACCCCCTGTACGCCATGGTGTGTGGCTGGGGACAAACGATTGTGGTCATCGTCATCTCGTTCTTCCGGATACTGGCCACGTTGTGACGACAGGGGCACCTGCAAGGAACCCTGCTGTTCGTCACAGACTGCTGGGCTTATCGCTGCTACACGACTGTAACACTAAACTCGTGACGGGTGGTTTGGAGACATTGTTCCTTTGAGCAGGAAGTTGTGGCTTTGGATCCTACCCAAACAGCCATAGGCATCGCCAGGGGAAAGGGGGCCAAAGGGGTGCTTGCCCCACCCTGAAAAAAAAATTGAAAAATAAAAAAGGAAATAAAAAGTAAAACCTCAGAAAAGGAGAGATGAAAATCCCCACTTTGCTGCCGAGTGCCTTGCACCCCCCCAACGAATAACCCTTATCTCCCCCCCCCCAGAAAAAATCCTGACAAGCCCATACAAGCAGCCATAAAGTTCATTCTCGGTACTCATTAAAGGGACTTTAATGTCTACTGCCAAAGTGATTTGAGTCTATAACGATAAATATTAAATATTGTTACCATACTTTATATATCATGCTCATTTGCTGTGTTAACAAGATTGGAATCACAGCTGTGATGAAAGATAGACTTCTCTGAAAATGGAATCCCCTCAGTGTAACCTTCACACCAGCCCCACGGTGTAGTTTTGCTTTGCATCAGTTGTGACTGCAAACCTGTGCGTGCCTGTAATGTCATCCGTGGTGAAGATCAGTACTTTGAACAAGACTAACACTGCAAGCCCCCCCCCCCACAGGTCCCACCACAGGTGTGCATCACAGCGGAAGGACCCCCTCCCCCACACCCCTTGGCACAGCCCCACTCGTCCATCTTGATGACAAAGCATTCCTGGGCCAAGATGGTTGACTCATTCAGGAAGATGATGAAAAAAAGGGTACTGATGCTGACAAATTTGAATTTGCCGTTGATATTAGGCAGCCACATGTCCGTGTATTGGGTTAACACCCCCTTTTCTTCTGTATCAGTTGCAGGAAATCCTACCATACTTGCGCAATCATGCATTGCTAAATGTGAAGTGCATGTCAACTTTGAGATTTGGCAGTTATTTTTCTCTATTTTCCATATGCTTTCACTTGAAAAATTGTCATTTTTTTTCAGAGAAACTACCTATGAATAGAATTTCATCTATTAGTCCCAGGTAAAAAGTCCCAAATAATTTCCCAGAAATTTCATGAAGTCTTAAATATCTTTGAAACTGTGTCTAGGGAAAGTTGAAAGTAAGGTGCTAACTGTGTTACTAGTTTGACAGTACATGTATATTAAAGTTTGGAACTGTACAGGCATGTACATGTAAAAAGCATAAATACAGGCCATATACTACATTCCTTTACTTTGACTAGAAACAATACACTCGCTATGGAGGCTGTTTTTAGCTAGAATCAGTTGCCAGAGATCTATGTTATCGCTAGCCATAACCAGGGAAGTTTGGTCATGGCTATGCCTTGTTAACTTTTGTATATATCAAATCTTTATGCACTGGTATGTGAGGAACTGTGCACTTGTTGTGTGTTGAATAAAATTGTAAAAAAAGTCAGTTTATTACTATAGATATTGATGTAATGGTTGTTTCCTTTAGTAAATGCTCAAAATCTTCGTGATTGAAAGTGTCTGTCTAAAAATGAGCGATATAGAGGGTTATTTTTCCCTCAGATTTTCCCCTTGTCATTAGGTTCATTTAGTATTGGTACATGTATTTTTCCCTCCCCCCCCCAAAAAAAAGCTGTCATTTTTTAAACAAACTTAGTTCTTTTCCTCCACGTGACACCATCAGTGCAAAGTGGAATTCTTCCACTGTATTTTTTGCACCTGTAGTCACCTCAGGAGATATTTACCGCAATCGTCTTCCTGGCAAAGTTCCAATTTCTACTTCCTTAACTGGGCAAGTTGGCGTGAAAAGTTGAAGACATTGTGAAGCAACTTGTGTTCTGCAATTTTCTCTCACAAAACAAAAGACCTGACTCATTGGTGCACGAGTTTGGAACCTCCCGGACACATCAGGTTCTACTACACTCTGTGAAGGAAACAAAAAGAATTTGTCCAGATCTCCGGCCCATTAGACTCAATTTCCAGGTGATTGATGATTTCCTGCACCCTTACTGGATTGTTGGGCTACCTGAAAAAGTGCTGCTTATGCCAAGCAAGTTGTGTCAGAGATATTGAGAGGGACCCCCGGCCTCATTGCACAGCAGCCATCTTGGAGGTAACATACTTTCATTCCACATACCTGTTTGTTAGAGCACGGTCATAGATAGTGAATTTTAATTGATTGCAAATTGATCGTGTGATATGCTATAAGCGCGCATGTATCATTCACGCGTCAAGTGCACTGGTGATGTTGCCCGGCCACAAAAAATGGACAACAGTGATCTTCGTTGATGTGTTGTGTCTACTGCTACTACTTTGACCATGACAGAGACCCATGGGTTATTCGTGCAATCAGCTATGCTCGTGGAACATGAGTGCACTCTGATTTCTGTTTCTGCTGCATCGCCATTGCTGTTTATATAAAATGCTCATGCCGTTGTCTCTTCTTGCCTGTTCTTCAATCTCAGTATTTTTTCAACGGAATTTGGTGTAAATAATATCTTGAAATTCAACCCATCGACAAAACCTCAGTTCTTTATGAATCCCCGGTTTCTCTAGTAAAATATTTGTAATAAATCCTACATTTCTCCCTCCCTCCCCCAAAAACCAAACAAAACCAGATGTTAACAAAGCACATCACAATTAATCATTTTCCTTGTAATTTATTATCTAATTTGATGTTCCAAGTGTTTCAATTTGTCAAAGTGTTTTAATTTTATCTTGCAATAAAATATGCATATACATGTATATGACACATAAGATTGTTGCAATGTAATCTACAGTGTATAATCCTGGTATAACATAACAGTTGTTGCCTGCTGTGACAGGCTCCATGGGTTTTGTACACCTGAGGGGGTAAATGGCACCCTCAGCTTCCTCGAGTGCCATTTGCTCCCTCTGGTATACAAACAACATGGACCCCTACAACACAGGCAATCATTGTTAAATGATAAATACATATAGGTAGGTTTGCATATTCATTATTCCTGAATTAAGGCAAAGGCCCTCAAGATGGCTGCTGCATGCAAAGCATCTATACACGTAGTGCAAGTGGCTGACAGATACATGTACATACGTCTATGACCAAATAAAGTCTCAATCATCAAAATTATACAAATATTTATAAATTATAAATAGTAATTTCTCTAGTATATATAAATATACCTATTCAATCAATGGTTGCATTCTGAGAGGGCACTACTGGAAATAACTCGTTTCTTTTTATGAATTTGCATAGTTTCAAATACATGTAATTACTTCCGTACTTATGTCTGCAGGAGTCATTACCGAGCAAGATTTGTAATGGTAAAAAAAAAGCATTTCAAATGTAGATCGTTTATATACTGTCAGCACTGTAGAACTGCTGACTAGGAGTGAGTCAGGTTGGCATAATGGTTCTTCCCTCGCCTTCCACCTCTGTGGTCCCTGGTTTGATTCCCGGCCCAGTCTACATGTGGATTAGGTTCTCAGTCCCTACCTGTTTCCTCAAGTTTTTCCCAGAAAATTTCTCTCAGGGGTTTTTCTCCCACCTCCAGAGTTGTAACTGCATCTCACCGTCTTATGGCTACAGGTTTTCTCAAGGTTTGGGATCTACAGTGCCTAGGGCACTCAGTTGAGGAATCCTTGGTGTAGTGACCAGAACTCGAGTAATGAGTAATAATGATACAATGGTAATACTGATATTTTTGAGGATGAAATAGCTTCATTTTGCTCGTGCAAGTCTCTACACTGGCTGCAGATGCCGATATTACATATACAGAATGATTTTCCCCAACGTTTGAAAGCTGCCCCAGAACTGTGACGAACAGAGCAATCGTCCAGCTTGTTTCAGGTCGGATTTTAAATGCATTTATTAACTGATGGACAAAAGCAACTGCTGTAAATTATCTTGCTTAAGGACACAAACATAATGACCCTAAAAATAATGATTACAAAATCCACTGACTGTGATGACCATTGAAAATGAATTTGTCATACATATATCCGTAGTCATGGTACTCTGCACGGTTAAATCTTAAAGCCTCTCAAATCACTGCGATCTAATTCATTGCAAATTGATAGCCAAAAAATAAATTTTGACCCCCAGAAACTGCCACGTAATGACTTACATCAAGAAATACTGTTGCTGCATCATGTACATGGTGATAGAAAGATTTCACAAAAGACAATTTTCAGATTTCGTTCATGCAATAGCCCAAAATGATTTATTATTTGATTGTCTCAGAGAGAACATTTAAAATTGCAAGTTCAAATATTACACAGACCTTCATAAATTTACAGACAAGCTTAAGATTTACTTCGACTGTGCGCCTTTGCTGATGCTGCGAAAACGCTAGAGGTAACAAAGTTTTCACACGGAAAGCAAGAGGAATACATGTATTCAATATTGAGTTCTGGAGCAAGGACGGAGACTAAAATAGCAAACTGGAAGGTTGCAGAATTGTCATTCTACACAGACGAGAATGAAATCTGAACGAGGCAACATCATAATGAACTACTGGTACTTACGGAAGCACATGGGGAAAGACTTTAAGCTGCTGTGTGTGCCATTTATGAGATGCACAACAAGCATATCTCTTAAAACATTTGTTGACTACAATAATACATTTGGCTTCATAGCTCAGCAGAAATAATTACATGCATAGAAGTCCATTAGTTACTGAAGATTTTCGAACCTCACGTACTGGATTAAGCCACTTTTATCCTGTTTCCAGAGTTTTGGTTAATTTAAACTTCTCACTCAGTGACCCCGAAAGCTAGTCACTGAATTTTATTGCTATAGCGGCTTTACATGGCAGCCATCTTGCAGGGCAGTTCTTTTGTTCCATGGGAATCTCTTTCGTGCATATCCTATGGAACAAAAGCACTGGCCAGCAAGATGGCAGCCACGCCAACCCTTTCTTTAAACTGTTCTTCAAACAGATGATTTTGTGTTAACCTGCGAGTCCACACAACTTCCCTTAAATAACTTCCTGGGTGTGCACGGTGACCGCAGGTTGCCAAGTGACCTGCTCCGTGACCTTTTATGCTGTCGCATTCTCTGCTGGTTCGGCAACAGATGCAACTCATCCCCAATTTGGATGTCAATACTACACGGCTTTACTGGGTTCTGCCCCTCAGTCTGTCCATAAGGAACCCTTGTTGAAGTTTTGCTCTCTGTTGGATCCAAAATGTCTGAATCGGTTGCCGACCTCCGCAGAGAAAACTGCCTCTCAACTGGTATTTCAGCAGAGGCACCGTCGGTGATGTTACAGTCCACGCCGCTGGACGAGCTGGAGTCTCTCTGGGCCGAGGTGCTTCTGAAGCTTGTCCTGTGGGACTGGTTTAGCGAGGTCAGGGAACTCTGCGTCGTGCAGGTGATCACCGACAGGGTGGAGGGCACCAGTTCCTGGGTGGATCTTTCCAGTTCACGGCACAGCTTCGGATGCTGTTCTGTGCCAGACATCTCCATGGTGTGTAGAGTGTAGGAGTGTGAACGACGTCGCCCGTTCCAGGACAGATTCCGTGCAAAGGAGGCACGCAGTCGCCGACCTAGACTGGCCACTTTTTCCGTCCGGAAGAGGCTGGATGAGCCAAAGTCCACTCCGGTACTGTCGCTATTGAGGCTGTCGCCCCGAGCCCCTCTAGTGGACATAGGCGTGGCTAGCAGCTGGGCGGGATCTTCCTCCAGCATGCTCATGACTGGCTTGCTCATAGACGGTCGGATCAGATCCTGTTGAACGCTCAGGATTTCAACAACATCATTGGCTGTCGGACGTTCCTCAGGTTCAATCGACCAACAGCGCTGCATCAGTGCTGCCCTGCAGACCAAAATGGGGAAAATGATAACTGAATACAAAATCAAACATCAAACTAGTGGAGGAGTGTGCTTCTTTCAAAACCCAATATCTTGGTCTAGGATGGCTCTCGGAAATGAGGAAATATTATACAGCTGATATCAAAACAGAAATGTACAAAAGAATAAAGAAAGACAAAGAGAGGCACGGACAATCTGACTGACAGGCAGTCAGCCCAAACTTACGAGGAATGTTTACAGAAAATCATTCCCACCTGAAAGAACTGTATGCTTGTAACTGCAACAGAAACAAGACACATGCCGTCGCTGGCATTTGTCTTCTGCAAAATATGAAATCTTGCCACCTGACAACAGAGCAGGACGGAGAAACTGACCCCAGTAACTTACAGGGGAGGGCTGCAGTCTGCCGGTGGCCTCATGGCATTGTTATTTCGGATGAAGTCCAGAACATCCGTGTTGCTCAACTCCTTGTACGGAAACCCGCCAAAGGTGACCACCTCATAGATGACGATCCCCAGGCTCCAAATGTCACTCTTGGTGGTGAAGACACCCTCATTCACGCTCTCCGGTGCCATCCATCTTACCGGCATCTTGCCTAGGAAATTTACAAGAACAATGACTCGTAAGATCAAGATGGAGGTTTACACTAGTCACAGTATAACAAAGAAGGTAAAACCCTCCCAGACAACAAGTTTGTCATTTCAATCAACCATAACAACCTTGCTTTCACATTCAAGAGCATCAATGCTGGGCTAATAAGTGTGGAAATTTACATGGATGAATTGTCCAGAGGATCGTTAGGATCATCCAAAATGTTATCAAATAGCAAAAAAAACGATCATTTGTAGAGTTCAAGTGGACATTGTCTGAATCACAGGCCTTATTGACACAGTATGTATCACTCAGTATTAAGGTATTTCAGTTTGTACACATGTTTAAGATTTGATGGTGAGGGTTTTTTTTCCCAACAATACTCCAGCATGAGCTTTGATCTCAAAAGTCCTGCATTTTAGCTTTTTGAAGCAAAATTAAAATGAAAAAAGATCTTTTTTCTCATAGTTCCCATTTCCCTTTAATCAAAAATGTAAACACAACAAATAACATACCTTCTCTACTGAGGCGGTAGTAGTTAGAGTCGTAAGTGGCTCTTGTCATGCCAAAGTCAGCTATCTTGACGGTGTAGGAGTTTTTTTTCAAGCAGAAGACGGCATACGAGATCCCTGAGAAAAAGGTAGATAAGCAAGATACATATCAGTCATTCACAAACATGATTACACAATCATCATTACATGTATAAGTTTACAGAAATCTAACCTAATTTTCATCAGCAATTATTCTTAAGTGTAAAAAAACCTGCCAAACAATGAAAAGCTTTACATCTCTTCACTGGTTCCCTGAACTGACCTGTGCACATATTTATTGGCGGCCAAGTAACTAACTCCTGTGGCAACATCTAGTACCATGGAAGTCAGCCGCTCAGGTGACATGGACGAATCATCTACTTGCCCCTGGCTGACAAGATGGCGTCGAGCCAAGAGGAACGTCTTTAAGTCACCTAGCAATTGAAATAGAGGGTATACACATCATGGATGGAGGAGAAAGATACAGACTTCTTTGCAAATGTGAGTGATCCATTTTTTTCACTGTGTTGCCCCTCAGAATTTCTGGCCCTAAAGTTAGGCAGCAACCCTACCTCCCCCCCGCCCTCCTTTGATTCCAAACTTTCTTTCAGTGCAGTAAACAAAGGCATTGTACTGTTGTTCATCTTTTCCATGAGTGTTCAAAACACATGCAGAATGGGGGAAGGGCTCTGAACTTGCAAACATTTCAAAAACTGTGAAAATGAAGATCGGCCTTCAGTTTCTTGCGTACTCTCCTGACCAATACTGGGACATATGGTGGCCACCAGTCTGCAACCATGACAGTGCCACACAATCAGCCATACAGTTCTCAAGTCCATCAAAGGTACTTTCACAAGTCTGGTCACAAGACCACTCGTAAGTATTACAGAGTGAACAATGATAAAGGAATACTTTCATCTAAGCTTATTAAAATCCATGTGCTTGGAGCTTACTGTCAGTGACTAGACTTGCAACTGAATGATATGTGTTGGACTTGCAGGGATTTGTAATTGACTCGACCTTACCAGACCAGACTGGATATGTTGACAGGTTCAGAACAATTAATGGGCTCAGAATAATAACCCATTCATTCTCAGAATAAATCCTAAGGTTAATTCAAACACATTTCTAAAAAAAAAATTACGAAAAAAGGGTAAAACAAATCCATTATTTACCTTCCCTATTTCCTCCATTGTTAAAAAAAAAAATCAACAGCAAATTGTAGTCAAAAATCCAAATCTGTTTAAAAATCTTTCATGAGGTCTCTTTGACAAATCTTCTCGTACATACCATGCAACATGAAGTCCATGATAGTATACAGGGGCTCCCTGCGAGTACACACTCCTAACAGCTTGACAATGTTTTTGTGATCAAACCGCTTCATCATCTCTGCCTCGCTCAGGAAATCAAGCTGTTAGAATGAGGTCAAACAAAAACCTGAAACTCTCTGGGTTTTGCTTGCCCCTTTTCCATTTCACACTTGTGCAAAAAGTCATTAGCATGTCATATGAATATTCAAAGTCAACAATGCGTATTTCTATCCCAGAAAACAGGAATGTGTCTCTGCCCACAGAAAAGAAGCTGTTAAAGTGAGTTAAGTTAATTGGGGGTGTGATGCATAGTAACAGCCGGACTGTGCACAACCGTAGGTTATTTCTAGACCAGATGTGTTACATCATGTTTGGCAATTTTCATCACAACATGAATATGCTACATCCTTTCTTTTCAATCTACAAACTAACTTTCATGCCTTGAACCTCACTTTCAAATTCACTCTGTGCAGGAACAAACAAGACAGGCTCACCTTTTCCTCAATGGTAGATTCCACTTTGAGGGTTTTGACTGCCACCCCGACCCAGTGATTCCCGTCCAGCATGGCCTCGCCCCCGTAGACCGTCCCAAAGGCCCCCTCGCCAAGCTTGCGATTCAGGATGACGTTATCTTGCGCTACCTCCCACTTGTTCAGGGACAGTAGGGTGCTCTGGCCCAGGGCAGTAATGCCCAGGTCCTTGACTTTCTGTCCGGCTTTCTTGACCTTACGGTTGTACCTTCAAGTTGCAAATGTGAAGAGAGCTATGTTTAAGGTGTAACTTTTGTTATTTCTCCAAGTAGCTACCAATAGCGATTTTTCAAGTTCAACCCAAACTGGCCAGATATCTCAAATTGAGCCTCAAAATCTGAGTTTTGAGACTCACCATCCTAGCTTTGCCATCATCCTACAGTCAGTCAAAATCTGCCACTCAAGACTGGAACACCAAGACTTTACACCCAAGAAAAAGGCAATTCTTCAAGACTCCAAACTGAATACTGCTTAGCAGAAGCCCCTAGCCAAAGACTAAAAATTTCATACTCGGGACCAAAACCTAAGGAGCTGCTAAGCACTGAAAAATTTTGTTCAACAAAAGAAGATACTGGCTAAAATGACATTTGACGTGCACTACGTGTAACTGGTTCACAGGTGATTTATACCTAGAAAGAAATGTTGATAAATGGTAATTAAGTGGCATTTTTTGCCATGCAGCTCCATGAAAGGGGCTACCCTCTGCCTTTGAGGGACACAGGTTCTGACGGTTCAAGACTTACGCTTTCTTCACAAGAACAACACAGACGACCAGGATGATGAAGACAACGATAATGAGGAAGGCATTGAGGATGGCTGTAGCTGACTGGCAGTCCACGCCCAGGAAGACTCGAAAACTCTCCACGGCACAATCACCCTCATCTACAAGCAACAATTAACACAAAAGCCCCACAATGTAGACTGTTAAGTTTAAATGAAAAGCACGCATTTTGTGCCTAGAGCCAAATCTTTACAGTGCTAACACACAATAAAGTATGCCAAATCCTCACTTTAAACAAAAGTACACCAAATCCTCACTTTAAACATAAGTACACCAAACCCTCACTTTAGCAAAAGTACACCAAATCCTCACTTTAAACAATGGTAAGTCTTGCACTTACACTTTCAATTAAGTATGCCAAATCCTCACTTTAAACAAAAGTACACCAAATCCTCACTTTAAACAAAAGTACACCAAATCCTCACTTTAAACATAAGTACACCAAATCCTCACTTTAGCAAAAGTACACCAAATCCTCACTTTGAACAATGGTACGCCAAATCCTCACTTTAAACATAAGTACACCAAATCCTCACTTTAGCAAAAGTACACCAAATCCTCACTTTGAACAATGGTACGCCAAATCCTCACTTTAAACAATGGTAAGTCTTGCACTTACACTTTCAATTAATACAATGATGTATTCACAAAATGGGTGATAACAGCTATGGCAGAATAACACTCCGTAATTACAAATGCTCTGTTCGTTAACTCCAACCAGTTATTCTCCTTCTCCTCCCCTGCCAACTTACTGCAATTGCAGTTACCTACGTTTGGTACAAGTTGGTTTCATGTCCACATGGTTTTATGTTGGAATGACATACCACTGAGAGCTTCTCATGAAATAAGGACCCCACACAAAGAATTCATGCTTTGATTATCAATACCTCTGTAATTCTCCTCTCTCTCATGGCTAGTTTCTCTCTGCGTGTAGTGTTTATATGCAGAATATTCACTTTAATCCACGGGTAATTTGGGCTTCATAAATAGCAACATTAAGCTCATACAACTCTTCGTCCTTCAACGAATGGCCGCAGACGTAACTCACCAATCCCGCCATCATCTGGAATCTTTCCATCATTCAACCAAACTATGTCACTGGTGTTTAACTGTAACGTTCCCGTCCACTCGCTCGAGTTGGCCACAAAAGGGATGTACAAACCAACAGGCTAAAATAAAAAAGGAGTCAAGAAAAATGGAACGCATTTGATTTTTCTAGACTTTACAAACAAAAGGCAACAACATGCAATGAAGCCGGCCAACTCTAATAAACACCAAACACTGGTAATATCCAACAGGAATTTGGGTTCTTCAAGTGATAAAAGACCTTCTTCCAAACTTGAAATTAAGAATTTATTTTTGGAGTACATTTTATTGACATGAAGACTTTTGGGTCAGCTCAAGAATATTGAAGAATCTGTTTAACTGTTACATTACTGCATCCACAGATACAAAGTGATTATTTGAAATACTGACTGGATCATAAACTACGAAGTATGAATTTTCTCATACGACAGCAAGATTTTCAGCTCTGACAAATCTGCTCATTTTAAACACTAAGTATAATGCTTTAAATGGAGTTCGTTATTCCAACTTTCCCCGGTACAAAAATATGGCAAACAGTGAAAAACGTGAAACGCCTCACTGCAATGTAAAAACGCAGGGCTATTTTTTTTGCCCAATGCTAGGTACCAGCTGAATTGCTTAACTGTTAGACAGAAAGATCAAAATGCTGGGTAAAAAAGTGATTGAAAAATAACATTTTCTACAACCATAGCGTAAAATGAGACAAGTTTGCCCATATTTGAGGAGAAAATCAACGCAGTTAGGTAATCTGTTTACCCAACAGATACGCGATTTACCTGGGACCTAACGCTGGGTGAAAAATTGCGGAGCAATTTTACAGTGTGGATGACAAGCAAACTATTTGTGAACCCACCTTTTTGTCTGTTTCATTTCCACCCTCACTGGGGAAAAGGGAAAGATGACTGATGATAATATGAACCATTGCGAGCCAATATATGATCATCCAATTTCCTCGGAATGTCACATCGGGTTTGGATGGGGTAATTAGCGGGGGGGGCAAAACACCAGAAATTACGTCCGTCAACGGGGGCTTGCTACCCAGGCGTCCCCCTCCCCTGGTGCCCCGTCAGGTCCCCGAGTCCTCCAGGGGAATTATGTTTTTTCGGAGAGGGGGAAGGGAGGCCAACGACCGTGTCGGTTATGCCAATATGACCCTGCCAATGTCTCTGCCTGTGGTGTGAGAAAGGTTTCCCCCCATTCAAGTGTTCAGCTCGATGACAGGGGATCATTTCAGAGTGCATGTTGTGTTTTCCAGTTCATGGTCAAGAAATCTGTGGATAATTCATCCACCAGTAATCAAGGCCTAAATAACTATCATTGGCACAAATTTTACTGGCGTCCAATCCACAAGCATTGATTCTTCCCAACTCCCGAAATAACTCAGTCTAAAGTCCTTATGATGATTCACAATATCATACTGGCCTTGAACAAATTTGATTCCTTTTTATGTAGGATGATTTGGATTGGGTTTCAAGACTAAATAATACAAAGTCAGACTGGGCTACCGTGACATAACTAACTGGAAGCATAGTAGGGTCATTTCCCCAGCTCCCAGTTATGTGCCTTCCCCCTCATGGTGATGTCCACGTCTCCCCCATCCCCTCCCCCCCACATAAAATCTTGAAATGAACAAAACTTATATACACAACACAGTTCATATGCTCTCATTTTCCCCTTTAAAAAATTGTATGCACTCCCCAAATCTCCTGAAATTACACCCCCATTATGCCACTGCTGGGCTGCTCAATCACGCTTTAAAAACTGGACCAAAAGACCACTTCTATTAATGTTGGCATACAAAAGAGTATTTTCATGGATACGGCCTGCACACACTGTCAATAGACATATATACTTGGTAAATATTTGGTTCTGATGCTACAATTTCTTTCTAAAATAAAAGTTCTAACTACAGGCCAGAACCATAACTCACTGATGGCAGATAAATGAAGGGGAGGGGGATGCGATATGCAGTGCCCCACCCACACTTTTCAGTTTTGCTTTTGGAGAGACACTTTCCCTTTTTTAACATTTTTTTGGCTCTCAATCACTTGTTTTACAACTTTAAAGACAAAAGTTAAGGCCAACAATTTGTCCCACTTTTCCAATCAGGTTCTCCTCCATTTGGGTCTGGGGTGCTCCCTCTTTTTTGTAAATGCTGGATTCCTAATTTTGAATGGTTCATTTATTGAAATCGATATGAAACATACAAGGTGATGTTACAGACTTTCCTATATTGTGAACCGCGCAAGAAACTTTGACTGAACAGATAACATTCATGACTAGAACATGACTTACATTTTGACAAGTCAACTTAAAAGAGCAGAAAGAATGAATCATTGTATGGGAAAAGCCCTGACATGCCCCATAAATGTCCTCATTTGTTCGTGACGAGAGAGACTTTTACAAATGATACGCACTTGTGGAATATTAGAGCAAGGACCGGCACGAGAGGGAAAAAACATGACAGCTTCTTTCAGGCAACTCATTAGGCGCTTAACGACTTCCATGAGCGGCGCAGAGTCGGGCAGCGATGCGCCGCGGCCTCAGTCAATCATGGGGTATTCCGTGCTCACTCAACGGTGGTGGGCACGGAGACAGGGAGTCTGTACCACGGGGCCTCCCGTGGTTTGCCATAAGAAAGTGACTCAGTCCCCATGTAGAATCTAGAATGATTGAAAAAAAAAGTTTGTGAGGAGGAGCTTGGTGGATAAGCTCTGACAGTAGGAAGTTTACTGGGTGACGTGCGATAACCTTCAGAATCTTGTCACTCTATTAGTACAACCTGTGCTACATACATGTATACCACCATATCAGTCACATCAAATACATGTCCCAAATTACAGGACCTGCTGATATCGATGAAGGTCTATTAGAATTGAGTGTGAGTGAAGAGTGAGAACAGATGTAGGAACAGCACCGGTATAGCCATGTTGGACATGAACAAAAATAGACATGACATAACCAGCTGCAAAAAAGCCCACAATTCGCTCTTTGCACGCTGCTGCCGTAGGCATGCAGAGCCTCAAACTGGCAGCTTGTACAGCCCCATCAAAGCAGCTTTTTGAAATATTGTCCAATCGCATGGTATAAAAAGTAACGCAGCAAGCGCAAAATTATTGCGCAAAATACACACAAATCACTGAACCACCTATATTTAGTGTGTAAAGCTGCCAGATCGAGGCTCTGCATGCCTATGGTGGCAGCGTGCAAAGAGCGAATAGGAGATTGTTTTCATTCCACAGGTACAGGCTGGTACCTGACGTACAGACTTGGACCAACTGTGTTATGGCGACAAATAGTTGTCCCCATAACTCAGTCCCCACTTTCCACACAAAAGAAGCCGTCCCCTTCAAACCACAATCACATTTCACTGTACCACGCACCAAGAAGAGGAAACTGCATTTCCTATTGTTTCTACAGTACAACACTCTTCCACGAACAAACACAGGCAGGTGTTACCGAGGACAATACACGGACAACTGAGGACAGGGAAACATTCATTGCTCCCTTTGTGGTCTGTCCTCTGTAAGTAAAGCAAAACAAGTACACCCGCTGTCCATTGCCCCATGGTGCACAACCTCCTTCTCCTGCAGTGTTCATGCCAGCAGCCAAGTTACTTGTGCATGGACTCAACAGTGTGCAGCCAACTGCTACAGGTAAGACATAGACCGCGGGAAACAATACAAGTGTGTGCGATCACAGCTGTATGCTGATGACTCAGCTAATTCAAGCAATGGGTTGACAACTGCCTAGTGAGACGGTACTCATTGACATAGGATGTGACATCTTAAAACTGTATCAAAGGAATGTTGCAGATGCTCTTCCTATACTTAAGCAGGCCGAGAGGCACCAAGCAACAAAACCTAGCTTTAAGCTATCCTATCAATTAGGAACAGTTACAGATATCAAATACCCAACTTTCAGCATATAACGTTAACATAAATACTCAAAGCCATGACATTATTCACATTTATGGAATAAGCAAAACATAAAATGAATCGTGAAAGCAATGGTTTCGACTAACCACATCTCTGATGCTGCCAAGTGCATCCAGACAATGAAACCCTCAAAGGTCTCTGAACTTCAAACCCCAAAAACAATCAACCAAAGAAAAAAAATTGAAGCAAGAGTGTCATCACTTTTCGATACACCCAGAAGTCCCCAAGTCACTGGCAATGACACAACAATTCTCGGCATTTCCCCTTCCTGATGCCTTCCCCCCGCCCAGGTGGGACCGTTCATTCTTCAAGGACTGGCTGTATTTCAACTGATGCCATGTTTATCTAAAAAGTCTGTGCACAGTGTAAATAAAACCACCTGCACTGCCGTAGAAGTTGGAAGGATGTACCGCCCGAACATCTAGACCACATGCCGTCATCCTATGGCTCATACCACCCTATGACCCTTGGGAAGGGCATAATTTTCATCAATCTAAACAGCGCAATAACTCTGTCCTGTTCCACTCAGTTTTGGTAGGAGATGAGAATGCCATCTTGACCGAGCGTTATAAAGCGCGAGGCTGCAAGAAACATCTCTAACAATAAGAGCGCAGAAATGATGTCATACTTCCTGACGCATATGGGTCATAAACAACAGCGGCGGAACAAAGTTTCAAAATGGGGGGGCATTAATAGGCAGACGTATTCATGGGGTGGGGCTTCTACATCCCCCCCAGTTTCCGTCACCAGTGATCATACGGCTAAATCAAATCACATCCTATTAGCGGTTGGATCTTGCACCTTCCATAAGTTAGGCTTAGCATGGACATAATACATGTACATGTACATCATTCATAATCCCTTCTCCCCTTTGAAGGATTTCTTTCTGAGAAATTATTGAAGTTACATGTAACTGTATTTTTGAAGGAAGCACTTAGAACACTATACCCACTTCATGGTCTTCCAGGAGCACTTTTTTTTACTGCCACTAGTAGATCCAGAGGAGGAGTTAAGCTGGCCCCTCCCCTATTTAAAAAGATATTTTGCCTTTTCAACAGGCATGTGCTGTCTTATTCCCTGTTTCTTTTTCGGGGTATCTTTTATAAGCGAATAATTTCAGCCGATGAGTAAATGTGATTGCTCAACTGATACTCATCGTATCTTCCAATCTCACCATCGCTTCAGGAGTCCCCCCTCCCCAGTCTTCATCAATGAGGGATTCACCACTGATTACGTGCCCTGTAAAAAGCATTAATATACATTCTGACTGACTGTAACCTCAACTGACTGGTTACCTTTCTTGTTACTAAAGCTCTGCTCTGTTGCAATGTCAGCAGGAAATAGGGACATTATGTCTTTAAGCCATTAGAAAATTGCATGGATGGAAGGTTTTCACATGCCAAGAGATGCACTTTTCCCTGAGGGCACTGATGAAGGGGACAGTGCACCTACACACTTTCCACTCGTTTCATTTTTATGATCCTTTGACAGCATTGGGTAGTTTGCAGCCTGACATCAGTTTCTACACCGTTTGGCTTTGTCTTTCCTGGTACACTAAAATGTTTCTACAGAGGGAGAGTTTTTACTCACCATACTGACTGTTGACCTCTGGGGTAGGTGTTGAGAGATCAGAACTGGCCCTTGACGGTCTGAGCCAGCAAAAGTGACCTCCCCAGTCATGCCTAGGAATCGGGTCTTAGATAGATGGGACATGAATGACCTGCAAAACAATGAAGACAATTCCTTATGAGTATAAGCCCAAGCATACAGTGCAAATTTTAAAAAGTCCTTCTCTGCAAAATTTGCGTTACAAAGTAAGAATTTCTGGTTTTTTATAAGCCTGCAAAAGTGAATACCTACACCAAAACAAATCTTTGCTTTTTTCCAAGGTTTTTCATACGTACTGGAACCATCCAAAATTACAGACAACTGCTTCATATGGTGGACACCTTTAAAACCGGTCTGGCAACCTGTACAGCAACATTATGTCATTGAAAGCCAAATTGACTGACTCAACTTACGATGGCAATATTTTGAGCCTTAACGAGAGTCAAAATGAATTTGATACTTACGATATGTCCCGATAGTGTCTAGACATGCCGAGTGCACCCGGGCTCTTCTGAAGGAGACTCTCGTATGCCAGAGCAAAGGCCCAGACCGCGTCATATGCATAGGCAGCAAAGTCAGATGCTTGCTTACCCTGAATGATCACCCAAAAACATTGTCTGACATCTTAAATAAACAGTCTACAATGATTTCATCTCACAGGTAAATTGACCAAAGAAAAGAAAATGAACAAGATTATGGATCCATGAAGAGGAATTTTTTAAGAAGAAAATAGATCAATATGATTATTTTTCGATACAAATGTTTTAAAATTTTGAAAAATTTAAAATGCTCCATGTTTAAATATTGCCACATTTTTGTCTCGGCAGCTAGTGCAAAAAATACGGACAAACATTTTAACACGAGCCAGCAAATGAACTAAAAACTTGATGTAACAAATCCTCAAATCAAATTTTTACTAAAGGCACAGATAAAGCTCAATTTTTGAGGGGGTTCTTAATGCATCTGCAAAGTTATACCTCTTGATCAACAACTGCCTGATACTTTTCTTCCCACTGTGCAGCTGTCTCTCCGCTCACAATGCACTCCTCGCCCCTAGCGACATGTAACTGTGACAGACTCATGTAACCGGCCACAGCGCGGGCCATCTCCTGCGTTGTGCAGGGCACCGACTCTGGTGATTCCTGCCTATCGCTGTTGTAGAAGTCGGTATCCCACCAATGATCCGGGTAGAGTGCAGGCAAGAACCACTGGTACCCCTCATACCCCGTCACATCCTGCGGAAAAAAATGTATGTCATACAGAAATATGTTCAACCGCTTATTTCGCAAGTCTTTGCACAGAAATAGCCAAAACATATCACGAGCAATGATTTTCATCAAACATCTGACGGGAAGATTGCATTGGCATTCATATTAAACTTGTCTACATTTGAGTTCCAACTTTCAAGTGGTGCTTTCCATTGCTTGTCTCAGAGAGCTCAACTTGTCTTTTTGCTGGAACCTGTAATACTGCAAAATCTGCCACTCCGCAGGAAATGAAGTGGCTCACTGTTTGTAGTTTCACTCTCAAGAAGCATCGAGTGCCACACTTACACTGACAGTAACGGGGCTCTGTGCCTCCATCAAGCCTGCAACATCCCACAAAATCACCCACCATGTTCACTGACACTAACTCTAATCCCACACTCAGCTTGAGCTCAGAATCACTCACATCAAACTTCTCACATTTATATGAAAATAAACTGATTAAAAAGTTGCAGTACCTCTCCAAGATGCAAGAATTTGACTATCCTACTTACTGCACTGAACAAAGGCATATATTTAATTTCTGTTTGCCACTGCATCTTCACACTGTACTGGTGACAACCTTGTGGTTTCTTTTCAAAAAGAATCCCCAAGCCCATCAAATATCTCATTTTAACCACAAGAACTCAATTTCTCAAAACTTCACCCACATACCGTTCACCCGACAAGAGCCATTTGTTTTGGATTATTTTACAAAGACTTGGCTGTCCCGTACCTGATCATTTTGAAACTAGGCATGTATGTAAAGACCTGGCCAAAATTACATCTGTGAAGTTTCAGTTCTATCTGCCATAATCATTATGATCAGTTATAATTAAGTTCACACCTTCACCCATATCAACCCATGTGCACTAAGCAAACATTCATGGGAAAATATTTCAGTTTTGGTGGACCTCCAACAGAAATATAGGCATTTTGCAATAACGGTATTTTACTGATTTTCATTAAATTTGCTTCCAGATTATTCTCAGACATTACTAGAAAAAACTCGTAAAAATTAGGCACAAAAATGTGCTGTGAAGATAACGGGAAAGATGTCAAGCCCCCAGCCCTTTCAGAGGTTGAGCAAGGATCTCATACTTGTTTGTATGCTTCACACAGCAGCACACGGGCCGCCACGTCTGAAAACAGGCCAACGACGAGATGAGCTCGCTGGTTCTTGATATCGTCAAAGAAGAGGGCCGGGTTGAGCAGTAACGGATCGGTGAAACTCTGGGAGGCAACCAGAGTGATGCCCTGCTCCCCCAGGATTCCCTCTGTGGTCGTCATCACTTCCAGGCTGGACACCTCGCTGTCAGAGATTGCCGCATACCGCTTCCAGCTGTAAGTCTCAAACAGTCTGGCCAGGGCATACCTGGCGTAGGATCAACACAAGAAGTGACGATAGATTTCAAGTCACACTTGAGGCAAGCTAAGTTTCCAGCAATAATGACTCAAGAAATATATACATTCTCAAATGCAATACACAGTTACGCTGACACATGGGTCCCACAGAAAGCTGAAAACAAAATTCCAGGACATTCCCAGGACTTTCCAGGACTACAATATGATAATTCCTAAAATATTTCAATTTCTTTCAAATATAATCCTTGCATGATCTTGATTTCCATGACTTTTTTTCCTCTGACAACAGGAGTCCAGGACACCATAAGTTGGAGGTTGTGAGTTTGAGTTTCAACAAAGTAAGATTGTTATTTTGTTCTTCAAAAGCACCGGACAACATTGGGTATACAGTGCACGGAAGTATTTATAAATATCCATCAGTGAAGGGCAACACTAGCAGTATAGACTAAACATCGATCTGCATGTGGCTCAGTAGTACGTTCAGTGCCACAGTGTGTGCGCAAACAAGCACCCATACATATACATGTATCTCCATCCCATTCCAACAGCCCAAACACTCAAAATGAAGCACATAAGAGGTCATTCAGGAACAGCAATAGGTGAAGGGATGGTGGTCACTTATCAGTGCAGCTGTATGCAAGTGCACACACACTGAACATGTTCTCAGTCATATGCGTTATTCTCCCATGACCTTACCTTTTTGAGTTACCTACATGTAGCTGTTGTTAGCTCATTCTTCAAATCTAGGTTTCAAATGTAAATCAAAGTTCATTTTTTTCGTGATTTGTAACTCTCAGTGCCCAAGGAATGGCATAAGTATAGTACTTTTCTTTCCTTAGATGCCACTGAACTCTCTCACAAATAACTCATATCTGCCCACTCTCCATGGCTCAGTATTAGATTGATGCTGACTTCCCATAATCGGTGACATCTGCGTCCAGGTTCAAGAAAGCGGCGTAGTCCATACTGTCGTCGCCACTCTAGGGCTTATTTTCTAAGCGTTGCTTCGGGGGCTGGTATGAGTCATGCCGCGAGATCTTTCCAAAAAGGCAGGTTTGGGAAGGATTGTCAAACACAAACCCTGGTCTCTCCTGAACAGTTCCTGGCGCTAGGGAAGATGGGAAGTCAACCAAGCCAGCCAGCCAACAGGCCTGCCAGCCGCCTGCAAGAAGTTGGCTAGGGATTAATGCGCACCACGTGTGGCTGGAAACACTTCTTCCAAACACCAAGGCAGGCCGCACTGATCTGCCAAGTGAGAGTTCAATAACCCTCAGCCATGTCAGATGCCATCACGACTTCCATCGTTTACAGCACGGGTTGATGCACACCTTGAGAAATGAGTCTAGGATACGGATGGGATGCCAACTGTGTCACACCCTGTGCGCCAGCCTTGAGAACTGTCCCAATGCTGCTGCCTGCCAATGCACACTACGGAGAGCCAAAACCGCACTCAGATCCCCCTGCAACAGCTCACAAATTACCACACAAATTGAGGAGAACGATGATGAATTACCTGACACCATGCGACAAGACAAATAATTCCTGCAAAACCTCTCACCTTTGTTTCATTTACATGGCCCTGCGCAATGTCTGATGGTTTTCACCCCTAGAAATCATCCAATTCCCGACTGAATTCCAGTCATTTGTTAGTCATATGTTTCAAAGCCTCCACCTGCCGTTTTGTGGCTGGGGTCAGTCACACCAAATGTCTCAGTGGGAAATACAATATCAAAGACCAACCAACATAAATCTCAATTCTAGCACAACTGCCGGTGTCCAAAATGAACTCTGATTGTAAACTACACAAGCAGAACATAGTATGACACCATCAAAGAACAGTCATCATGCTGACCGTATAATTTCCACTAACTACTCTTCTACATAGTTTACGTGTACTCGTAACCATGGTAACCCTAGAGTCAGTCCACCCCACAGGAAAACGAAGTCTCATCACAGATGGACCAGCCCCCCCCAATAAAACACCTAGTGGCCACTTCCGTCAGTGGCTGATTTGCGAACTGCAAGATTTATCATGGTAAATTAGGACAATCGACTAAAGGACTGAAATCAGTGGTTGAATTATTCAAATATTCTTCAAATAATCTGAGCCAATATTCGTGGAATTAAACACTTCTCCCTCGCTCTTCTGGATTACAATTGAATGACCAAAACATCTACAAACAAAAAAATCACATTTGGAATTTCAAACATTTCTTTCAAAAGCTTTTACATACACCATTATGAATTTTACGTACAAAAAACACAAAGTTTCAAATCTATGAATATGCACCTTGGCGATCGGTCACTGTCGGTCTCGACGACGGCTAAGTTTAGCGGCGAAAAAAATCCAAAACAGGTACTGTGAATCACCCATGCTGGGAGATGGGATATGCGATAGGTATGGAGGAAACTCCATTCTTTGCTCCTACTGTCCACCACAGGAGATGAACAGCCCGAGGGGAATCAAAAGGGGCTTTGCTGATATTTCCTGAATTGCAAGCCAGCATACCCCGAGGACTCGCTATCTTAATGTAATTAAGATGCCTAGTTTGTTGAGCGCAATCCTGGATTATCCAAATTGGAAAGGCTGTTGCCATTTTAAGACAATTTGTGCATTTTTTCCCTTAATAGGTTGAAAGACATGGGGGGGCTTGCATTACTATTTGCTTACATAAAACAATGTTGCTCAGTACAAGAGATGCGAATGGTTGTAATTTGACAGACTCCTTTCTCAAATGTTTCATCGCATAATGTCACATTTTTGCAAATCCCGGTTGGAGCTATCACACGAAAATCTCTTGTTCTTATCAGTCTGGTATTGAGCCAAGTCTATACGTGTGTGAGGGTACAAGTTTCACATAAAAAGCAGAAAAAAAAATAATAATGCTTGTTCCAGAAAGCAAAATAAAATTTGACAATGCACAGCTTTTATACAGAAGTTCAAAGTACAGTAGTTCTCAAATTTCATTTTAATAAATTTGCAAAGTAAACAGATGCGGATTGAAGTACATGTGGGCAATTCCAGAAACAAGGGGTCCATTTTTTTGTGTGTGTCCCTGTCACATCTGACATATGATTTTGTAAGTTCAGAACAAATTTTTCAATTTCCAAGAGTGATGAATTAATGCAAATTACCTGCCAAACAAATAGTAATAGTTTGAAATCAATTCTGGTGATATTTCCATGTCAAACAAAAAAGGTCCGATGTACCAGTAACTGGGACACAAAAATGTTCCACTTTCGGACTCCTAATTTCTGGAATTACCCATGTACAAAGATTGATGATCTGAATGAAGTCATGGACATCATCCAGTGATGACTGGCTAAACAGCATCCGGAATACTGGCCAGTGGGAAACAACTGGGCAGCAGAAAAAAACTAGAAGTGCAGACTGGGCAATTAATGCGGAAACCAGGCTGACTGGCCATGCACTCAGGAAAGACAAAAGCGGCATCACCATGACAGTCTTCGACAAGGTATCCTCAGGGGAAGAGAAAACAGAGGGAGGCCTACAAACGGCTGGAGGAGATGATCAGTAGAAGCAGAAATGAAGGAGCCTGGAGGCACTTGGAAGGGACTAGACAAGACGGCTCGGAACAGTGTCTGATGCCAGTCCCATGTGGACAATCAACATTGTATGTCAAGCGGCAGGCAGAAGTGCTTAAGGCTGGGGCATCCACTGATGAAAGCCCAGTATTAGCCTCACATAAACCAGCGCCCTCTGAGTTCCCCAGAAATCCGAAAACCAAATTCCGTGACTTTTCTAGGACTTTCCAAGACCAAATATGACAATATCCATGACACTTGACACCATTTTGCAGAGAAAAGTTGTTTGGTATTATGAACTGGCAGACTGCCAAAGCCGCTACTACAGACTGACAGGGATAGCCTCTAAATTTATCTTTATCTGGTTCGTAAGTGACTTCGTCACAAAGGCGGACGCCCCAAGATTCGCAGGCTCCCATTGGACGATCGCAGAAGTTGCACGTGAACTTCCGGTTCCATGGTTCCGCATAAACGGCGATCAATGCATGTAACCATATGTGCAGTGCATATGTGCAGTGGGCGTGGTTTAATCTGAAGTGACGTCACACTTACGAACCGGATACCCTTATCAAATCAAAAGTGGCCCATTAAAACTAACCCTTGCATGATCTTGATTTCCATGACTTCTCCATTACTTCTCTCCTCTGATAACAGGATTTCAGAACATCCCATTTTCCCTGACTTTTTCCATGACTTTCTAATACAGCTTTTTCCCCAGGATTATCCATGACTGTGGGAACCCTGTCTTTTGAAGGGGTGGAAGTAGGATGAGATTCTTGGCTTATCCTTTTCACTGTCGACTTTCTCATCAGAGCCTTAACATTCAACTGTTTACAGAAAAAGTACCTTACAGCGCTGTACTAAACATGATGAAATCTTTTGAAAACTTACGCATTTTCTGCTGCACTAGGTAACATGCAGACAAAGTTGGGATAGAAGTCCCGGTTGGACAGAGCTGGTGACTCAACTCCATAGCTGATTACCACAGTCCTGAAGAGGGCAGCAATCGGTGCAATGATTTTACAGTCCTCTGAGTGCATTGGACCAATCACCCCTACAACAGCAAGTCATGTGACAGTCTATCACAAAAACACTCAATGAAACTTACACCTGTCCACTAAAAAAACAAACACTGATGAAAGCGTGCACCCATTTGTATATCTGTACTCCATACTCATTGTTGTAATAAGATATTTTGTGACTGAAAAATGCAGTGGATCACAGGTGCATAAGGCATGAGTTACCATGTGTTAGGCATGTAAGCTCCACACAAGACGCTCATCATTAACATCTGACTTATAAAAACATTTTCCTTGGTGGCACATGAGGCGGAATAGAAGTCACAAAGCCACTTATGATTCATAGGCACTACTGGGCTCATGAATTTCACAGCTGGGTGGGACAGTCCTGGGAATAATGCAGCAGCACTGCTCGTGGGAGCAGATAGACCGGGCGCCACATATGTTGCAACTTCTGTAGTCATCCGCAGCGATTGCCCTTAATTGAGTGAGGAGGAAATTGGGTTTTTCTGTTCAAACGAATCCACAGGACATCGGGTGGTACTATACAGACAATGGCTTGTGTCAAGGGAGCAGGGAATGGGCGTCAACCCTACGGATTACTTGGGGCGAGGGGACTACTACTGTTGATGTTTATCATTTCCTGGGTATTCACCAGACGATGCTACAGGTGTGGCCGGGGGGTGTTTCGGGGCATGCGGAGGAGGGAATGGAAACTGCCCCTGCACCTGTGACCCCCTTTCACCTCAGGTCAATGTGGACGGAGGGTCAGCATGAAATAAAGAGAATCTGAAAGCGTTCTTACACGTGCTAATGTTCTGTTTCTGCAAAAACTAATGACACTGACTGTGATAAATGTAATGCCAGGCTAGGACATCAAAGCAACATCCTTGAAATCCATATATGAAAGTTAATTTCCAACAGGCTGAGGCCTAGGTTGTGTCCGAAATGGGCTTCCAGAACTACAGATAACGTCTCCTGTCAGCATGTTGCTACATATTTCCAACAGAGTCAAGACCTAAACATACACGTACCTCTTAACAACAGATTCAGATGTTGCCCCAGCAATTGCCCACGTACACAAGGACAACTTTCCACACCTAAATTTTTTTAAGTCAAAAAAGTTCTAGAACCCAGAATTCATGAGACTTGAGTTATTTTCTCACAAAACATATTTTATGTTTTTAGTGTATGCTTTGGTATTTCATTGGAAGTTAAGTATTCTTAACACTACAACAATATGTATACTTTGCTGTGGATGACAGGAAACTTTTCACTTGCTCATTCTGCAAGTTTCAAACCTGACTTTGTTTTTGGAGCACTGTGAAAAGATCCTCGCTAACCTGTGAGTGGTTTGGTGTTATCCTTCTGGAGCCTGAGGTAGGACGCCACAGCATCACTACCATCTGAGCCATCCACCACCAGTTCCAACTCGTGGGTGGTCAAGATGCTGCTGTCAGTATTCACCGCCTCCACGGCCAGCTTGGCTCCGATCCCAATGCCACTGAAGGCTGGTATGTGGTCTGGAAACAGACCACCGAGGTAGATCTTCTTCCTCGGGTTCAGCTGATCTGTTGAGGAAGTGAAACAGGTTTCAATGTAATGAAAGCCACAGGGATATTTCTTGATGAAAGTGATCATACTGGGCAACGCGGGTACTCTGCTTTCCAGTTTTTGAGCTTTGTGAATTGCAAGCAAATTCTGAGATATTCACAGCTTCACTGCATCGTTTCAGTAAACCTTGTCTGGTGTAAGGGATGACCCTCTGGTTAACTCTCTGTTTGTACCCAAAGGGAAATCAGTGTTTGCAAGTTGGCAAATTTTGGAACATTTCTGACATAGTTTCCTCATACTAAATTCTGTCAGCAGCTTACATGAACACCTGGCTAAAATGCCTTATCTTTCAGAACTGTCTTTGGATTAAATTGGATGAGAATGGTGTGACATGTGAAATGCAGATTCTACTGTGTTGCCTTTAGTATTTGCTGAGTTGTGGATCTTTTGCTTGATTATTGACATCTAGAGGCAAGGTGCCGTGCAGTGGTGTAACTGGAGTACGTTTTCCAGGAGGGCACTAAATACGTTCAGTCACAGTTAAAACACTTAAGGCAGGCAATCATAAGATGTTTCCCAGGGGGCCTGTGCCACCCTATAAATGCCACTGGAAAGATGACTTACTTGGTAGCCATCCATTCCAGATGTCCGTGTTGCTCTTCAGCCAGTCACATGCAAAAGCCTCCATGTTGCCGCTGCTATGGTAAAACTTCCGCAGGATCACCTGCATCTCAAAGTCGCTGAAGCTCATCGCAGAGATCATCTCGTCCAGGTCAGGAGCGCCGTGGGCCAGTGGCAGCCATGTCACTTTGCTGACTGGGAGGGTGCGGAAATCGCAGCCCGAATTTGCATCGATTGAGACGCCCTCTACACATGTGGGGAACGAGACCCGGTTGAAGAGTCCGGATGATGTCAAGGCGTGCGGGCTCCAGCTTAAGAAGAGGGTGTGCCGGTGGGTCTGGGAGCGAGTGCTTATGTAGCTTTCCAGTTGTGGACCGATCCAGGCCACGACAACCGGGAGACGGAGACTAACGATCTGACCAATCAGCATGTCAAATGAAGTATCTGCAAATGCACAACACAAAAGTTTGATGTAAAAATCTGGGATGTAGATGACACATGTATGCTTTCCTACCTTGAATTTAAGGACTTTGTTTCTGTGAGAGTGGAGTTAATTGAAGTCTCACGCTTTGTAAGAATCAACAGACTAAATGTTTATCATTACTGAACTTCTGCTGGGGTAGAGTTTGTTACAAACATGTACAATACCAGGTTTATTATTACATCATTTGTTCTCCATCTTCCAGAGCAGCATTTAAACCCCAGAAATCAAGCGCAGGCAAACTTGGTAGTCACGTAAATCGTGCCAACAAAGATCATCTTCAGCATACCCGGAACACTGCCTCGTCGACGTCAATGCACCGGTGGCAGGTTTGGAACCAATATATTCTTTGTTCTTTGGTCAGGCAAATGCACCTTTACCTTTGTTACAATGCACTCCATCCAATGCAGAGAGATTTTAGCGGGCAATTCCTGCATACACGTACATGTCATCCCAGTAACTTCTTATACACCTACACGTACATCTACATGTAAATTCTGCTGATAATGCAACATCCAGAACTGATTGCTCTTTTGGCAATAAAAAAAGGCAATTTCGTAATGAGTTAATTAAACTCCATACTATCGAATTTTTTTCTCTTCACATCCATATTAATTTGTGTAATGTGCTTCACTGCTTAGTAAAAACAGTTCTATTTTACACTTAGACCGCGGGGGCTGCTCATATCAAAACAGACAAAAATACTGCTGTAATCAAGGCTGATATTTATAGATCATGAGTAAACTAGTCGTCAAAGCGAGGTCACCAACCATCCAAGAGCTCAAAAAGCCAAGGTCCAAACTGCCATTGACACAAGTTGGTCACCGCTCATGGGGAGTGGGGTGTAAGGCAATGCGACTGAGCCACTCACGGCAGCCAATCATGGTTTCCGCCATCGATTTCATCGGGAAACAAGACAGCAATGGGACAGCAATCAACACAGGAAGAATCACAATTTTTGTAGTTGATGCAAGTGGACACCTTGGGTGACCTTGCCAGGTTAGCCTGGACACTTAATCCTTATTGGATTGGAACATCGATGGTCCCAGGTTGAGAGCACTTCAAAATGCCTTATTTTTATGAGGCCATGTTACACCCCTCCCTTGAAATCAGAAGGTATAAACTCTTCGTACTGAGCAGATAACGGTCAATTAAGATTCTGTACCGGATGCCTCCTCGCTAAAAGTGACTCTTAATCTAGTTGCAGCATTTGGTATATTCTGATGTCTAATTTAATTTGTTTTCCACGGACTTCTGAGCACAAAAGACCACACTAATCCTCTCAGTGGCACCACAGTGATGACAAGACCAGCTTTCAAGAAGCATGACTTTGTACAGAGATGACAGAAAGGGGTGACGGGGGGCGAACCCAGAATGAAATACTCTGGGGAAACCCTAAGAATCAGATGAGATTTAAAATGTGACCAAATCAAACAAAGTAAGTCGGACACCATCCCAGCTGTTTTTGAGTTACTCCCTTGAACAAATCTTCTACAACAGTAAGGGACAAAACTGTCATGGTTTCCAACTATATAAAATCCCCATTCACCATGATGTCAATCTAAGAGATAAAAATAGGAAGAGCAGCATATGCGTGAATCGAGTGAGAGCAGAAGTCGTTAAGACACATTTTGTAAGATCCAAGTATGAATACCAATGCCACTAATTAGAGTTGGAGGAAAGGGTGGAAGTTGAGGAACATTTGATTCCCACTGTACACCTCCCCCCATGTTTTCAGGCTGAGGACCCCTATCAGAAGGCGTCACAAAGTCACAGCATTTCATTCAAATAAAAATCTTTGCCGTTCACATCCATGTATGAACACTTGTAACAGGTATTTGGGACTTTTCATTGCAACCGAAGTGAATACGTAGCGCGCACAATTAGTAAGTAAAAGGCATTAGCGCGAGAACCAGCGCGTGAACCGACACGCGCGCGTACTCCATTCGTTTGCACTGCACTTTCTGGTTCACAGTGAGGTCACACTTCGGTACTCTATTTCAATTTCATCAATACCGGGTACTGCAGCATGAACTTTTCATTCTTTTGGACTAGTAAAACTTAACTGAAATGGAGACAGGCTCCAGATACATGTCTAGTTTTCACATACTACCCTCCAACCATGTGTATTTACATGTTCATGTGAACTGGTGTATCCATCCACCATTTTTATATACACCATGTAAGTGTTGAAGAACATGCAACAAACAAAGCGGAACCGTAGTCGGCGGTACAATGGGTCTTTCCTCAGCTTAGAGTACATTTCTGGTGGTTTCAGTTCAATTCCAGCGTGTGGTTAGCCGGACTGACTTCTTAAATAGTGACTGCCACTTGCGCCGGTGTTCCATGGGCTGATCATTATCGGGGACTTTCCCTCCAATCCCTGCAACCAAGACTTCCTGCCTTGTCTCCTCAGAGGGCAGCCCTGATTCCTGAGGGAGGGCAATAACTATCGGAACTATGCCTTGGAGTCGGAACGGGGCATCTGCAGCTGAGGTACTGCTGATCCATAAAGATGCCCATCTCAACCATCATATCCTCCAACTCAACATGTGGTTTTCCAGGATTCTCATTGACCCCCTGATTGTAAAGCGAAGCACTATGGCTTAAAATAAGCAGTGTTTGACAGCTAAAAATGACAAGGAATATCCCCGTTGTTAAAATGAATTGTATATTGCAAATGGGAGGATTGTTACGAAGGAACTTTGCATGCGAACATGTATACCCACAGAGAGACCATATAGGTGAAGTCTCACCAATGACACAGCATTTTTGTATTGAAAATTATCAGGAACAGCACCTGTCACATTCAGGTGATACTGATCAGCACAAACCTGGGTAACCGGCGACAAGCGTAGGGCATTCTGCCGTTGGCGTGGTGCTGTCCGTGCCCTGGCACACAGGAGGGATGTACATCCCCTGAATGCACTCGGCCCTCTCGCAATAGTATCGGGTCTCCTTGCCCCAAGGCTTCTCGGATTTGATGGTGACCAGGCCCTGCAGCTCACTCAAGGGGATTAGGAGCTTTCGGATCACCGTCTGGGAGTGCAGACTCTTCCAGTGATCGGCAATGATCTGGTGTTGCTCCCACATCTCAGCCACCAATGTCTGGGAGACGAACCACCCATACCTGTCCCATTTGAGTAAAAAAAAAAATTCAGAAAAGGGGACAGAAATAATGAGGCATGCACCTTACTGAAGACAAATCAAGCAAGACTTGTTAGCATTTACATTGTAAATCTGAAATTGACTGAATGAGCTTTCAAAACTCTCCAGTAAAATGTGTACAATATGAAATATTTATCTTGAGGCAATTTTACAATAATGGTTGCCTATAGCACACACACAGCATTCAACTAATTCAATACAAAACCATACAAGCACAAATATGTATGACAAAAGTTAAGACTTCAGAAACTAGCTCACTAGCTCATCCATTCAAAATTCCATCTTTAATTTGCACATATCCCAGCAAAGTGACAAATCCTTCCGTAAAACAGGAGCATTGATTGGAAAATGTCAATCTTCTTCCCTTGGGCCTCTCCACAGTACATTCCTGGCGGTTACATTGTGAATTTATGCACAATGTTAATATCTGGCACTGTGAGTAATAATAATTTATTCAATTTTAATACGGGTGTTTCATAATAGTGCACCTCCAAGAGTTTGGCCAATCACAATGCGCGAAATTTGTCAACCCAATGCGTGTTTGGAAAGGGTCAACAAAATGTTGTGATTGGCCAACGTGTTACAAACTCTTGGAGGCGCACTATTGTGAATCGCCAGTATTACGCCAGCCTGTTTGACAGGACATTAAATCCTAGTTTAAAAAGCAGTGACACTGCCTACACAGTTAACCTTAAAGCAGAAATAACCCTCCCCATTACAAAATCTGATGCAAGACCATTACTGCATAGTTATTTTGGTTTTAAAAAAATGGGGGAGAATTTGTGTCCTGGGCTCAATTTAAAGGCACTGCTTAGCACACGATTTCACGCTTACAGAGGCTCCATGTATTTCATGGAGACTATAAGCAGTAAGCACAGTGAAAGGCATGCTTACGTCGGAGGAAAAATTTGCTTAAACTTGGTGACGTAACAAAAGCAATCCCTACGCGCGCGCAACCATTAGCACAATCACACCAAGCACAGCCATTAAACAGTGCTTAAGGTTAGCAAATCTTTCTGCTGAAGTTAGCACGACTCTTCTACAAACTGTTAAGGGGCTCTGTAAAATTGAGCCCTGATGTGCAAAAATTGTTCCCTTGTTAGCCCATCCTTTACAATTCTGTTTTATACTGGCAAGAAAAAAAAACAGGATGACAGGTTTGATCTAGAATGTCACGCATACCCTTGGGGATTTTTTTGTAATATTTTTTATTAACTACATTACTGGGTGGAAATGACTCTTTATTACTAACTATGTGTGGCTGTCTGATGCACAAGCTGTGGGGACAACTGGCCATGTCAGCTCCTCCAAAAATAACAAGTTTGGCCAAGTGCACTGCTTGATGTGAGTCACAGATTATTACAGCAAAAATGACAAGCAGTTTATTCGGGGCATCATAACTGGAGAAAAGGGCAGTACAAGAATTGAATGACATCAAACTGTAACGCTGAAGATCTAGGAACGATGCTCAGTAGGTTAGCATGCTTCAGTTAGAGCTGATTTGAGTTGAGTGAAACAGCGTCATAAGTATACATTCATTGTGGCATTAAATACTGTCAAAGATTTGTTGCTGGACTTTATTCAGGCTCCAAAAAGTACTACTGTTTCTCTTTCTTTTTCAACTGTCTGCACTGCAAGTTCCCACACATGCAAAATTCTGGAAAAGTTGTATCAGCAGGCATCACAGGCTCTGATCAGTTTACTTTTTATCATCAGAAGTCTTCTTGACACTGCACAACGGACCTCGGGGTGGGAAAACGTTAACTGCCTGGAAGCCACAGAACCTCCTCTAAATTTTCTGCCCCTTTTTATGACCACAGAAGCCCCCCTGCCCCCACACCTGACACACACACGAGGAATGACTTTTCACAATGGGCAGAAACAAGGGCATAGTTTGATTCCACTCTTCCAAGAGTAAATTGGGCATTACGATAAACTTTACGGGCAAGGCAAGGAGGGGTCCAAAGCTGATGGGGGACTCAGTCCAGGGTGACGTGAATTGACAAGGGGGACCAACACAGGAACGGAGATACAAGTCACCTGCCAATGGGCTCAGACTCAGACCAAGGGGACCAAAGTGATGGAAGGCATTTTAAGAGATGGCAGGACATGGAAATTAGGTAACGAGGTATGGAGCTGATGTTTCCCTGAATTAACCACAGAGGCATAATACACATTTCCTCCATTTCCCAACCCCTCACACATCTAAGTCAACCTCCAACAACAAAAGCTGTTTTAATACGTACATGCACAGGATGTTCCACCAAGGAACAGCAAAATTTCGTGTTAACGAGATCCAAGTAGCACCTGCTGACTGGAGAAGTCCTTCATTGCACGTACGTGAATTTTTTAAAGTCTTTTGTCAATATCTTACCAGTACATGTAAGTCTTTATTCAATACTGCTATAAACCTTTGCGGATAGGCATCATTTTGGTCGGGTTTCTTGTTTTAGTACAAACCAGTTGGCAGTGTTCCTATCTAGTATTTTAAACAAGCAAAAATCATTTTGGAAGTCTTTCATGACTGGCCAAACTGTGAATGACGGGACAATTAGAATCCGAAGCAATTCACAATTCTGACATGCCAGTTTTTCCACTATTCGTCTTAGATTGATGACATACTTCCTTCAGGCATAAAACCAGCTGTAACCTTTTCCAAAGTTATTATTTTTTTTCCAAACACCTGCGTATTATGTTGCTGTGAAGATTTTTTCAGTGACTTATTTCCTGACGCTGCCTCACAAGATCACCTTCAACTCCACAACTCCCGGGGAATATCTTGCAGAGGCCGAGTCTGGGCCTCTTACTCGCCCACAACTGGCCATGTGTCTCTGAATAACTATACTCAATTAGGGATTCATGCAGACTATCAGGGGCATCTGCCCATCGTGTCAAGCCTCAGTTTGGCTGTTAGCATGAGAGGCACACAACTGGAGCAGTAGTCTGACTTCCAAACCCAAAGATTCTGCCTTTGTTTTTCATTTAGTAGAATCTTTTCCTCTAACACCTGCTAATATCAAGCTACCAAAGTGGGAATTTTCACTAAAATCCAAATCAGGAAGTTTTTGAGCCTGTTTTCAGTAAATTGTAATACCTGATATATCTACCTTTTTTTCTGATTTCCTCACATGAATCAAAATTCTGATGGCAACTTTCCTCAAGTTGTTTGTCTTTGCACAACGATTGAAACTTTGGCACAACACAGTAAACAACTAGTATAGGGACCATAAGAAATTATATTTGCATATGAATACTTATACAGCTCAGAAAAACTTGGTGGTTAAATCATGACTTTGCTGGGTTATTTTATCCCACATGCTGTAAGTAATTAGTATTTCAAAATCATCAATGTGCTTATGTCTACACATGTAGGCTTTTGAAATAATTAAATAAAAAAGCAACCACCCATTTTTTTTCTGAGCCGCAGAGTGACTCCCGCATCCACACTATTTCTAGCAGTTATCTGCCGTGAACTTACAGACATTACTGTTTTGAAAGGCAGAGAAACCAGTCTAATGGAGCAGCGGTCCAGAAGTGTCAGTTTTCAAAGACAAGTTTATTAACAAACGGTATTGCCATTGCAACAAACCTCGCTGTGTAGCCCAGAAAACCGTTGACTTTGATGGTTCCCGTCTCTGACCACAGGGCCATCTCCAGCAGGTTGTCCTGCCACACCTCCATGTTGATGGTGGCATTGCTTGCATCATTGGGAATCCAGATGGCACGACAACTGGGCCAGGGCAGAAAGGGAGATACATTGTTATGCTAATAGCTGTTTATGGTACATTTGCCGATTACATGATCAAAAGCAACGCTGGCCGTTCATACAACATACAATTGAAGTAAGCACAAAGGTCTTTTACTTAATATTTGCCATGTCAAATCTGTCCTATCAGTAACATTGTAGTGCAACCAATGACTTTTTTGCAACTTGAGATGAAAGAGACGTCAGTATCATTTCACTTTGCTCTACCATGATCTTCCCTTTCAAGAATTAATTCCAAGTACAAGAACAAGAAACTGAATAGAACCATGAGTTTAAAATTTATATTGCTGTAATGAAGCAACACAACAGGACGGAATCCAAGATTGTGCGACGGGATTGGCCAAGCTATAAAAATTTGGGTTTTGCTGGTGGAGGTTTGCTAATACACACAAAAACAAAAGGGATTAAAGCAATGATTTCTTTGTTAGGATGATTTTGGGAAGGAAATACCGGCAGGGGATTCTCACTCCAACAACACTTAATAAGTAAACAGCATCGGTCAGATAGAAAGGGATCCAGTTAGGCCCCTCCACACACAATAAAAATCGCCTTTGAAGTAAGGTATGAATGATACCTACTCCTGCTGGAAAACCGTTTTGCCTGAGGGCACTGCAAGATCACAGGACACCCTTTCGTGTCTACTTAAAACAGGGAGTGCTCAATTGAGTGTAGCCAGCAACCTCGTCCAAAACGTTTGAAGTGCTGTAGCACTCCTGGCACCCTGGTCCCCGCAGAGTACCCCTTGTCTCTCTTCTTTGAGCTCTTTTGGGTGACACGGCTAAGAAAGTAAGTCACATCACGTAGTACCGTCCCTGTGAAGTAACTTCACAAGGGCAAACCTGTGATGTGCCTTCACAGCTAAGAAAATGGAATTGGCCTCCTATCGGTTTCTCACATGTCTATGCTTATCAGTGACACGGCACAAAACGCCTGCGAATGGTTCCATATGCCACACGTGTGCATTCACATCTCAAGAGGAGTGGCTCTGTTACCCACAGCGACAGGCCATAATTGGCTGCCTAGACATCGGCAGAATCCTGTTGTTGAATGGCCCAGAAGTTGCAGCTGACAAGCCAATTCACACCCCCCCCAACAAGCTGGCATTGATTAAATTTGTCTAGCCAAAAAACTCATCCCAGCTTAGTGTATATATTACGGTTGACAAGTCATCAGGTTTCCATGCTTCTACTAATTTTCTCATCACCAATCTGACACAGTAGTTCAGGTTCGACCAATAAAACCTGGTGTCTGAGTGGTGCTTTCTGCATAACTTCATTTATGCTTGTCGTCTTGTGAAATTTGTAATTTTCTGGATACAAAACCTTGACAATGATGCTACGCCAGACCAAATCAAACCAACCTCAGCTGAGCCCAACCAAGCTAAGCCAAGTCAAGGCAGAGCCAAGTCAAGATAAGCCACTGCAAGCTAAGCTAAATGAAGACTGGTCTAACCGAGCTAAGCTATGCAAAACCAAGACAAGACAAGCAAATGCAACCCAAACCAAGCCACGACAAGCCGAGACAAACCAAGCCAAACCTTTCCCCATCCTGAAAAAAAAAATGTACCAACCTATAATCGTAACATCCAGATATTCTCTGCAGAGCCACTGTGGAGTTGTGGAAGTCAACCTCTGCATTCAAGATCCGTACATCCTGGTAGCCTAAAATCTCCATCGCCAGAGTCTTTATGACATGATTGGTGAAATCCACCGAGGGGTTGACACCAGGCCGGCTGTCAAGAAGAAGGGGTCGGGCCTCATTCTCAATAAAAAGCTGCTGCTTTGGGAAAACTTCTTCAGGAAATCAGAGAAGGAAAGAAGACAGTAAGAAAGCTTATTTCCATCACAAACCTTTGGATCTCTCTAGAACAGAATTTGAAACCAGTGAAGCAACTGAGAAAAAGATCCGGAAAGGCATTGGATGTATGCACCTTGCACCATTGCACTTCTACACAAGCGAAAGTATACAGTGACGTACATGTATATGAGTGGTGAATATTTTGGTACTGAAATTCTCAATGACTGTGAGTAGTGCACATTTTGATAAAAGCATAACTGAATTGGAATCTTATTATGGAGAGCAGAGGTAGCCAAACCTAAAAAGCACAGCTTGCGTCAGTTAATGCCGTAACAAAAAGAAGGCATTACAACAGAGATGAGTCAAAATCATTGGGCAAAGTTATGTTTGAATACATGTACGTACACGAGTAAGATAAAGAAACAAACACTTAGGTACAAGAGAGGATTTAAACATCGGCTTAATGGTGAAATATAAGAGCATGATATTGCAGAAATGTACACACCGAACAAGTAAAGATGAGAACCCGTTCACAATACAATGATTTAGAGGGACCTGGACTTTGTCTGAGATGGCAACGGGAAATTGAATGCGGCAGACAGGGGATGGAGGGGTGGGGCACCTTGTTTGCTTTTGAGAAGTACACCTTCGAGGCGAATCTCTATTCTGGAGGCAAGAGGCATAGACGAGTGCACTGACTCACTTCACAACGGAGGCTTTTTCTTTGAACTACTAGCATATCTGCACCATCACTGGTACAGCTTTTAAAAATCCTTTGAAAGACATGAGCACTGAGTGGTACTATTTATCTCAAGCATTTCTTTCATGAAAAGAGGCTGCATGTCCAAGACTGTGCACATTCCGTTGAAAATAGCAGGGAACAATGAGTCATTCACAGTGCCTTTTTCCCTGTGTACAGTACATCATACCATAGAGCAAGGACACAGGAGTTTGAGCAGCCCAGGCTAAAACATCTGGCCCTTTCTGGCATGCCTGGTACGTCCATAGCTAGAGCACAGCGAGTGCTTGCTGCGCACCATCTGTTTCACAATCACGAAACCCCTTTGTACCCTATGATCACCACTGCAATTTGTTGCTGCAATTTGCATCCTTAAAACTTTGTGTACTGAAGAGTAGGAGATTGAATATTCATACATTTGTTGGTGCTTGGTAAGATCTCAAAATTCAACATCAAATTTAATGCTTGCGCAGTTGCTTGTGTTACGCCATGTGCCCCATAAGTACATATATATGCAGTTATTGCCCTTAATGAACACTTGAATCTGGAGTTATTTGGGGGATAAATAGCCATGTTGTTTACAAGATTTAAGGTTTTGTTTGAATCGTTTTTTATTATGAAATTTGTACAAAAGTGTGATTTACGAGAGATATCACGATCACTCCTTGTGATGAAATAGTGTGTTTTGATCCTCATGAACTTAGCTTTCCAGTTGTAGTCCACATTTTGTTGGCCAGTTTTAGCTAAATTAGTGCCAAGTCTTTGAAAACTGATGTATTGGAGAAAGAAAAATAAAATTCCAAACTTTGGATGGATAATGGGACAATGAATCAAAATAAAAAAGTTTATTCAAGATGGCCAAAGTAGGTCTAACATCAGGGATTTTTCTCTCTCTATTTCCCGGTCACAGCAATAATTTGTATTTAACTGCAAGCAAAACACTGCAAGTATTGCTAGGATGTTACTGGCCCCGCTTGTTCAGGTCAGCTGCAGGCAGCAATCAGGCATTTAGGGAACGTTTTCCATTATTCATCTGACCCGGTGGCGACGGTCACAGAGCACTTTGAAGTGCCAGAGTTGCAACTCCTGTGTCCTTCCTCTAAGACTACACTTACATTTGTAGTCTGTGTATCTACATAGGCATCAACTGTAGAAGGGTGGGAAGAGGGGAATCTTTTGCAAAACATTTTAAAATGCTAACCTAATTTCACCTGAAAGGCCTTAAGTAGGCTTCAACGCTTGACAAGCAGATGAAACCTTTCTGCATGT